ACATAATACTCGGTGAGGTCATTTTTCATCTACTGTTCCTCGGCTTCTGATTTTATTCAATTGTTGCATCTCATCCCTGAAGTCCCAAGGAAATAAACGAAGATATTCACCACAAATTGTTAAGGGGAGGCAGAGGCCATGCGCCTGCCTTCCCTCTCTGTCCTCGGCTCTCAACTCAACAGAAGGGACACACATTCAAGCAAGGTCAACTTCCAGAAGCTTCGGAGCCTTGGGACCATCTCCAGGGTAGTTCTCCTCTCTTGTCTTAGAAACTCTTATGTTCAGTGGATTCAGGAAAGTGGGCTTCAGGCCCCATGTCTCTATTTTATACCTGTTAGCCTTGTGTGTCCCAGCAGCAGGAGGCAGCCTCCACTTTGGCAGAACACACAGTAAAGTAATTTGGTCTGAACCCGAGCTGATGGCTAGGGCTTCTCTCAGTCCCGCCTGCATGAGAGAAAACCATAAACAACTAAGACCCAAAGCATACTGGGCCTTCTTCTGTTTGCCGCCTAAATTTTGCATTTTTCTAAAAATAGCTCTCTGTGAGTGCCAGCCACTCTTCTGCTGGTTACATAACTTATATCACCAGCACAAACCTGCAAGGTAAAATACCGCCAAGGCCGAATTAATGCACCAAACGCCAAGATAGGAATCTAAGCACTTATCCAAGTTGGAGACCAGCTTGTCAGGGGCTGAGCGGGCACTGCAGCCTGTGTTTCTCCGAGTGATGTCCACTTCTGTTTCTAAGCCAATTTCCAGTTGGTTCATGGTATTATTTTTAAGGCCAGCAATTTTATGTAGGTTCTTTTTTGTAAAAGACCAGGGAGGTACCGGATTTGTTGATCTAAGCAGTGTGTACATTTTGGGTCCGTGGAAGCAAAGGAAGTTTCCAACTTGGGACCTGAAAGGAGCAATATAAAGGTTGTTGGGCAAAAGGTCCAAACTCACTTCTGGGCTTGAAAAACCCAAGAAACCCCACCAATCTCTGAGCTCGAAATCCCATCAATCCCGGGATTTATCCAAAGCTCCGAATTTAAAATCCCACCAGTTTTACCCTGGAAATCTCCTCCCTGGAAAACTCCTCCCCCAAGAAACCTTATATAAGCCTGTCTCCGGCTCAGCTTCCTGCTGCTCCTCCTCCCGGCAGGGGTGCCACCTTCTAGCGTCTTTGCCCGTAAATCTCCTGTGTGAGGTTTGTTGTGCAGTGTGACCTTGTGGTCTTCTTTGTCTCCTGACTGCCGGGATAGCTTTCCCCTCAGAGCTGGAACACAAAGGTGCAAATGGGGGTGGGTTGTGGGGAGAATTGCATTTTATTTTTCCAGTCCCATGTGGCTACAATGCACAAAGAATTTAAATGCAAAATTGTGTAGCTGGCTACCTATTTCTCCAACAAATACTTGAGCTAATCAACTTATAGAAAAAAGGTCTGGGAGAGGTGGCTCAGCAGATAAAGACTCCAGCTGCCCAGAGCCACATGGTAGAAGGAGAAAAACAACACACACACAAATATAAAAAGTATATTTAAAAAGAAAGGTTTATTTTAGCCCATCATTTTGGAGCTTTCTGTCATAAATAATCGGCCCCAAAGCTTTTGGAGCCTTGATGAAGCAGCACATTATGGTGGGGCCTGAGGTTTGCAAAGCCACCCACCTCAAGGCCGGGATGCTAAAAACAGCAGAAGGTCCCAGAGTCCCACAGTCTTTCAGGGGCATGCACTCAAGGACAAGGACCTGACTCCCTCTCATCAGTGGCCTGCCTTCTAAAAACCTTCCCACCTCCAAATCACACCTTGGGGGGGGGGGGCTTTATCACATGACATCAGGGATCTAAGATGACAGCAGCTTCCTAGGTCAGCCCAAATTCTTGTCTTGCTTGATCTCTTCCCACACAGGTCTTACTTGGAGCGCTTTTCTTCCTATTCCAATAACCTATTGCTCACTTGACACTTAATCAGTTGTCTTAGAACTTTTCTTTAAATATATCCCTAAACTTTCCGTTTCCGCTGTCTTAACTATCAAGGGTACATACAAGTGGACACAGGCCACAGTTCTTTTATCCTTTTGTCCCACACGGGCACTGGACACATGGAAGTTGCTCAATAATAGCTAATTAAAGATCAACAAATTTGGCCTGATTCAGGACCCTGGCCAAGTCGAGCAGTGTTGATGACACCTGGCATTTTAAAACTGAAGCAGGGATTAGCAGATAGCTCTTGTACAAGTTCCTCTGAAAACCAGAGCTCAGAGAGGTTCAATGAGCTGCTTTAGAGCCAGGATTGGTGGCACACACCTGCAATCCCAGCACTCAGGGAGGCAGAGGCAGGCAGAACTCTGTGAGTTCGAGGCCAGCCTGGTCTACAAAGTGAGTCTACGACAGCCAAGGCTACACAGAGAAACTCTGTCTCAACAAACAAACAAACAAACAAACAAACAAACAAAGCGGAGCTCTTTAGGAACGCTGATCTCTTACTCCATAGATTGCAGTATTTCTATTCTATTCTATTCATATTCTCGAGGATGAATATGGGATGAAATGTGGAGACTGACTGCCTATAAAACAGCTTTACCAGGAGAGGGCGCAGGAACCAGTGTGGGCCTTGGAGCCAGTGGGATCTGTATGCTGACCAGCCACTGGGAGCTAGATGGCTTCGTTCAGTTTTTCTGTGCCTAAATCTTTAAATATTAACGACAATGCCCCTTTACCACTTCCACAGGGTGGTCAAGTAGGCTGTGGCTGAAACACAATTAGGGAACAATAAATCATCTCTCAGGGGCCCCACTAGGAGATCACAGAAACATGGGGATTAATTAGACATTGATTCCTCTTTGATACTTTAATAAATTTTAATTGAATTTAAACAATTGAATAGTAAACATTTGAATGAATTTGCCTACTTGAAACAATAAGCAGAGTTATAGAAAATAGTCGAATAAGTGGATTTCCTGAAAGGATATAAGTACCCAGCAGATTAGATTTTGTCTGGATGGGAGGCCTTAAAACAGGGCAGGCCATCAACCTCAGAAACTATTTAAACTAAAAAAAGTTAATATTGTATGATAGCCTGGGACATTGTATGACAGGCCTGTCATCCTAGCTGACTGGGAAATGAGGCTGGAGGTTCATAAGTTCAAGGCCTGCCCATACTACAAGGTGAATTCAAGGTGACCCTAGACTACAGAGACCCTGTCTCAAAACTGAGAAACAAGAAAAAGAGAGCTGAGAATACAGCCCAGTGATGGAGTATTTGCCTAAGATACATACAACCCTGAGTCCCCAATACTGACCCCCCCAAATATATATGCATATATACGCATATTTCATAGTAGAAAGACTAAAATATTGTTGATGTTGCTTTCTTGATATCTCAAGACAGAAATAAAGATATTACCATAGAGGATGAGCTTGTTTTTCATTTGCAAATAAGATTTATTATTCAAATTGTCCTGTTTTCCTCCATCTTGGGATGACAATATGTTTACAATCTAAAAAGACCATATTTTACTGATGTAGTGTTTCACCTAATCTTATTTTAGCATCATTGAGATGGTCAGTGGGCGATGTCTTTGGTGTGCAAAGAAGTAAACCCCACAAAGTTGTCCTCCAATTTCCACATACCTGTCATGGCCTAAAACCCCATAATAACATTACACAGACACACACACCATAAATGTTTCTTTTAAAGTAAATTTCACTGCTGTTACAGTATCAGCATTTAGACCTGAGAGTTTTAGTGATTTCTCCTCCTGTTTGTTTAAAACTTATCATTGTTTTTGTCATAAAATAGTTATAATCTTTTCTGTTCCTTTCACAGGGGCAGAATTACCTTCCAGAAGTCCTAGGCCAGTGGTCAGGTAAATTAACCGTAATAAAGAGATTTGAAGTTTCAAGGCAGTTAACATAATTAAAAAACTGATGGAATTCAGAGTCAGTCGATAGCTTTAATATGAATCAGCCGTAGACAGGTCTCCTTCTTTTTCATAAGGCCTAAATATGGCCCAGAATTAAATACGAACCGTTGTTCGTGCAAACGGCCATGTCTGTCCCCAGTACATGTAACTCAAACCCCACCTATCTCCGACCCGGGGTTGGCCGCACGTCTGTGAGCCGTGTTTGCTTGCTCTCTGCTACTTAATTTACTCTGCTGAACTTGAAAAGGAGTGGAATTTCAATGTAGAGTTACCCGTTAGCTCCAAGGCTAAATTTAAACCTCTAATTAAATTAATCCGTTCATCTTAAACACTTTGCTTCTCCCGCAGAGAAGTGTAGCAAGTCTTCTCAGGTGTCACAGAGCCTAATCCAGGGCGACAATTGTTCCACACAGTATTTAAAAAGTCACCCACACCGCCCAGAGAAGCCGGCGGAGGGCTTGGCTAGCAGCTGGTTAGCCCAACATTTTGCCCACACTAAAACCACTTGTTGGGGGGCGGTGGGGTGGGGCTGATTCTTTCTACACCCCAGAGTCACCGTGTCCCTAGGCAGGAGCCCATCTTTCTGGGACATATAACCAGGAGTCCACACAGATGTCTATGAAACAAATGGAAATATCTATCCCCGTTTATAGAGGGGGAGAAAAAAAAGACTCGCAGACATTTGCAAGGTGACGACAGGAACCTGAGTGCAAGACTATTACACTCTTCCCAGATCTTCACGGAAAAAGTAATACAGTTTCAGGAACCAAATGAAAATCCCGGCTGTCCTTTGCTAAGAGGACCGGCGGCTGTGTGTGTAACTCAGCTGGGCCACAAAGCAGAAGGCGCTCACACACCGGGGCAGCTAGGTCGCGGTGCCTCCCTTCATCCTTAACCTCGGCTGCCGGCCCCCTGGGTCTGCGAAAGAGTTGGGGTCACATCCCAGCGGTGAGCGACGCTTTCGGTGGGGATGTCCACTTTGGGAGGCGTTACCCTCCCGTGAGGCTGGTAACAAGGACCGGCAGGTCCAGGTCCCACGGGCAACGTCAGATTCGACTGTTAAGGCTCCAGGTGCTCGCCTAACTCCTCCAGGAGCCCAAGGCTGGGCTCTGGCTGCTCGGGCGCTACGGACACCCGCCGCTCCCCGCCCGAGCGTACGGGGTGACGTGCTCGCCTCCAGCACCTGGCTTCCGCGCGCCCCGGGAACAGCTGGGGCCGCGGGGACCGGCCTGGTGAGCCCCCGCCCCGCCACGCGCCGGGCTCTGCCTGCCTCCTCCTCCTCTCCCACCTCCTCCTGCGCGGTCGCCTCCCGCCGCCGCGGCCTCCGCCTGCGGCTTTGTTTTCCTCCCAGGTCTCGCTCCCCACACGTGATACCGTGTTATTGCAAAGAGCGCTCCGGAGCGCGGGCGCGCGGGGGGCGCGCGCACTTATAAAGACGGACCGCCGGGCCCGGGAGCCCGGGATCGCGCGGCGCAGAAGGGGCCGGCCGGGCGCGCGTGGGGTTCCCGGGCGGGGAGGGCGAGGCGGGCGCGCGTGGGTCTCA